CAGTAAACTATTTTATTAATGGCGAACTTGCCTGCAAAAGCCCCTCATCCTGCCTACACGTCATCTCTGAGAGGCTCACACTGCTGTCACTCAAACTGTCACCAGTTCACATGATTATAACTGCTACTAACAGCTTTAGTGTATTAATCAGTGTAGTGAGTCCATCAGATGCTCCATTTACTGACATTTAGGTTTACATTTTGTACTGTTTACACATGTTTTTTCATTTTGTACCCCACTCGTTCAATTGATGTTTTTTCTATATCACATGACACAAAAGACAGCCTGTCAACTTCTGCCCTCTCATCCCTTACCTAATGGCCAAAACGTCATAAAAGTTCCTGTTCATATTTGTGTTCCCCAGAGGATAAATCCTAATAATATGATATTTGTATCATATTCATTTTGATAGGTACACATTTGAGAAGTACAAATGGGTGAAAAGAGGAAGGAAAAACCTGAAGGGAGAAAGTTCATGCAGATGTTTCTTTAAATTTGCAAAGCATAAAATAATCAAGAAGAAAACATTTCATCATATCTTTTAACATGGACGAAAGTTTTAGGCACACCAGGCTGACCTGAGCGACTAAATGATGCAAAGAGGCCATATTGAAGAATGAAAATAATACAAATAATACTCTGTGATCTAGATATGTACCACTTTTCTATGATATATATGCCGAGAAAAACTTTCTCACACACATATTTTTGTCAACATGTGTTCCAGTTCCTTTAATTTGTCACTCATCTGCATATTCAGAATTGTGATTACCCAGTCAGTAGTTAATTATGTGTGACATTTGCCCGGCCCATTCTCCTATTATTGGAAATTGACTCTGTGAGTAACATTTACTGTCAACTATCTGTTTGGAATCAGCTGGGAACAAATCATTCATCTGACACCTCAAGAGTGCCAGTATGAAGGTCTGGCCAAGGGACAACTGAAGCTAACCAAACAGGTTAGCAGGGATGACAGATTAGATCTGTCTGTCATCGTTAAACTGAGATGACAGTAAAGTTAAGACTTGTGTTCACACCCACATCTGCGGTACAGCTGATTACCTGCTATCATTAATCTCTAGTTCTTCAACGCAATCACACTGGTACCAGGAAAGCACACAGGTTTTAGTTCCTGATTCTAATCTCTGTTCTTGTAATGAGAGAACAAATTATACATGTGGGTAGATGCTTAACAAAAACACCTGATCTTCTTCGCTTCAACTGCTTACGTGTTGGATTTTCTTTACTCTGCCTGGTGGTGGATGAAAGATAAAGTTGCAACCTTTTGCGTCAAAAAATCCCATGTTATTATGATTTTCAAATATAAAGTAAATAAAGCCTTTAAAGTGCCTTTTTAGACTTCATTCTCCCCTGCAGGTTCATTGACTAAAGGGTGGTTTACATATTTGTCTTGCTTTGTTTGTACCCAAAATTATCTACATTTATGCATAAATCTCTCCTAAAATCTGGTCCAATCTTATTTACAGTTACAATTCTGAACAAACATCCATCCATCCATTTTCTATACACCGCTTAATCCTCATTAGGGTCGCAGGGGGGCTGGAGCCTATCCCAGCCGACTTAGGGCGAAGGCAGGGGACACCCTGGACAGGTCGCCAGTCCATCACAGGGCCACACTTAGAGACAGACAACCAAGCACACACACAATCACACCTACGGACAATTTAGAATCACCAATTAACCTCAACATGTTTTTGGACTGTGTGGGAGGAAGCCGGAGAACCCGGAGAGAACCCACGCTGCACGGAAACTCCACGCAGAAAGATCCTGGTGCCCCCACCGGGACGCGAACCGACAACCTTCTTGCTGCGAGGCAACAGTGCTACCAACTGCGCCACCTTGCAGCCCCTGAACAAACATGATCCATTTTAACTAATAACACACAAAACATTGTAATGCTCATTTCCATATTGACTACATTGTTTTAACTCAACAAAAACAAGTTAAAAAAAAAAAAAAAAAACTGGAGTCCCGTTATTGTTTCCAGACTGGAGGTGTTAGGGCTACTATGATTTTCTAAAATTAAAAAAAAAAGTTGTTGACAAGAATCATCTGTTGATGTGATCTATCACAAATTACTTTGTACAAAACAAAAGCAATTTTTAGAAGAATTTCTTGATTTACATAAAGTAACATTCTGAGTAACAGCTGAAGGCTTTAAGGGATTGTTGGCTCTGGTTTACATTTCTGTTCAGGAGTCTAACATGTTTTTGGCACAACAACATAGTTGAAGCTGCTGCTCTCCATCAAAACACAAGTGCACAGCTTGCCTTCAGGAATTTCTGTCAGAAAGGTTTTCAATTTTTTTTTTTAAATAATCAAGTAGTTTTGTTGCCTAAACCTGACCAAAGAGTGACTGAAAGTTATAAGTTTACTAAGTCTAAAACTAAAAAGCCAAACTTGACCACTGGTTTCCCAGAGGATACAAACCCCAATCTCCTTGTTGAAAATTCTTCATTTGACCCATTCATCCACACTAAGCGCCTCCCTATGAAGACATATTTGCTCTTTAACCGACCTCAGCTGACTTTTTAAAGCCTTGCTTCCTAAAGCTTAAAGGCAAACTTCTTCCATTAGCGGTAAGTATGTCAAATGGCACATTGACAATCCACAATGCTGCTGCAAAAATGTTTTGAGGACTTATTAAACTAAGGCTGATTTGGTGTGAAAATGAGACTGGTGTGCAAAGGACACTGTATACCAACATAAAAAAACACCATCCCAAAAGTGAAGTGCAGTGGCAGCACCATGATTTGGGGCTACTTTGGTGAATCTGGGCCTGGATAACTCATCATAACGGAGAGGAAAATGAATTCCCAAGTTTATTGAGGTATATTCCAAGATAATGTTAGACTAGCTATCAGCTGAAGCTCAGTAGAAGTTTTGGGATGCGGCTTGACAATAACCCTCAACATTCGGGTGTGTTCTGTAATAAGGATAACTACCTACTTATTTATTATTCCCTTAAGTGTATCACTTTTGTTTGTGCCTGTGTCTCAGATGAAGATTAGATCACAATTTATGATCAATTAATGCAGAAAAGTGCGTTATTCCAAATTCCAAAGATAATAATATGCATCACAAGATCATGGGCTATATGCAGTACTGTCAGACATGAATGAAAATGATTTTAACAGCATAAGAATGTGAAAACAGTGACAGTGAGAAGTAAAACACAAACCCTTAAAGTCTGCCAAGTCTGTCTAAAACAGTTCTCAAATGGCCATAAATATAGTGAAACGGGTTTTAATTGTAATCATTCCTCCTGTTCATCCTGGCAATTTCAGAAATTCCTTCCTAATTTACTGATCATCCTAATCCCACAATGAAAGCCAGTGTTCCCACAGTTATGACTGCAACATACTTGTTTTTAATAGCTTTAATACTGACTACATGCAGCAGCAGTAGTGTGTGTGCAGCGATAGCTTCACTGGCTGAGTGCTGTAGTGAAGCTGCTGAACTCCTAAATGGCTTTAAAATGGATGTTGGATGGATATATCTACTGTGTTCTAAGGGAGCAAAACTACAGGTGTAAAAACAGCCACAGCAGCAATGTAATCTGCGCACAGAAATGGAAGAACATCAAATCCCAATCTGGACATGGCTCGGCCTCGTCCAGGGCAGGGTGCTGGATACTACACAAATAATCGACTGAAAACTTCTGGGCAGTAGGTCTGTCTCCCAGAAACATGTCACTATGAGCTTCTATTTTATTAAAGCGGACCTTCAAGTTCCTCTAACAGTGACGGGAATTTCCCACACCCTAAACATAACTATGAAAAGCAAAATTTATGCAGGAGCCACTACAAGTGGATATCTTAATACAGATATGACTGAAAACAAATGTGTTGTCAATTAGTATTTTACACATTTAAAGATATTTGCGACTTTCAAAATAAAAAGGTAAAGCACAATTCCAGTTTGTTTCTACCTGGTGTATTTTGCATTGATGTGGCCGTATAGGTTATGCTAAAAATTCACTCTCCACCTCATTTGTAGAGATTTTGGGAAACAAGGAAGCTCACAAAACAGCTTGGAACTGTGTATATCAGACAGCATAGACAATGTAATTCAGTAAACAACACCTTTCCTCCAAAGTTATATTGTAAGCATAATTTCCAGGAGGCAGGTAATGTCAACCCCTATTGTGATCATGAATAGAACCTACATGTATGGAAATTGCATCTTAGTTTAGACTGGGTCTTTAACTCACTTGGACACCGCAATTTGCAGTGCAGCTTAGTTTCAAAGTCTGACAAAAGCATGTTTAGAGTGAATGGAAGCACATTTGGGGAGGGGGAAAGCCTTAAAGCATTGCAAAGGTGCACAACTCCACTGCAGTCAGTGGGTTGCTATCTTTAACTATCTCGACGTGCTTGATCTGGCCTTTTGTTCCCACAACAATATCCAAGTGGTTTCACTTGTTGTGCCAAATGTTTTTCATCGTGAATGCTAATCTGACCTACATTATACAGTCCTCTGAGGTCAGACTTCTCACATTCAAGCATCATTAGCATCGCGTCAGCTTCATCCTTAGACAAAGACAGAAGAAGAAGAAGAACCATGTTTAGATTGCAGATTTCAGAAGGAGATAAGTTCAAAAAAATACACCTAGCATTTTACTGTTTTATGGTAATAAAGGGCAAACTACTGGCCAGTATTTTTGAATTGCTTGGTTCATTCACTCATTCACTTAGACTGCCAAATGACCCTTTACAGTTCGATCACTTTAGGCACAACAGAAACCACGTTTTTCATCATTCTATTGTATAACAAAAATACGACTTCCTCATTCTAGCACCAGTCAGACAGGGAAATGCCACAGGGGTGACATCTGATGCGGGAAACATTCTTCACAGCTCCACTTAAACAGGTTTCTTGCATGTGCTGTCACTGGCACCTCCCAAATTTCACTTTGGAGAGATTAAGAATGGTCCTGTAAACTTCAGAGGTATGTTTTTTCAGCAGCGCCGACAAAGATGCAGATGTGTCGTTTGCTGAGCCTCCTCTCAGCCTTTACGGTGCTGAGCAGCTTCCTGGCCATTGTGGATGGATGTGACATTGATGAGTCTGTTTGCGGGGCCCAGGCTCCGGGAGATGTTGTCATAGGTATCATGTTACCATCTCATGGTAAAGTGAAGGCGGTTCATGAACGGATCACACCTGAAAACTTTGACTGCTCAGAGTGAGTATTACAACTCTAGTATTTATCTCTTTAGATGATATGCCAGGAGATGTATAATGAATGTGTTCATTTCTGCATTACATTTGGCGGAGTTGCAGAGGAGATTTTTTTTTAGAGCAGGTTCAGTAACATCAGTTATAAGGCTGGTATTTACTGTATAATTAACAGATTTAATTAGAGGTGCAAAGAAATTACAGCTGTTACTGACTAAATAGGGGGTTGTGTATTAGATGGAACTTTTTTAGAAAAGAACAATTAATGAAGTCTTTACACACACAATTGAAACTACACAAACTTAACTGTAAATAATGTGCTTTCGGGAGCCTTTGTCACATTTTAAATTTAATGAAATGTGGATCACTGTACTAAAACCAGGAAAGAAAAAGAGCTTTGTTGAATGGTTATCCTAAGTGCTCAAGAAAAAGCAACTATAGTTTTGTTCTTCAGTTCAGAACTGAAAAAGGAAAGGAAGGCTTTGGATACTTTGTACAAAAAAATGTGTAAACATTTGCTTTTACACTACAGTTCTTTAACCAAAGAATAGAATAGAATAGAATAGAATAGAATAGAATAGAATAGAATAGAATAGAATAAAACTTTATTGATCCCTGTATGACAATGTCTTTTTTTTTTTTCCCCCTTTCAGTTTTGATCTATCATCATTCGTGAGATCCTTGGCCGTAATGCATGAAATTGAGGTGATTAATGCAGCTGGTATCCTCCCTGGAGTGCGTCTTGGATATCTGATGTGTGACACATGTTCGTATCCAAGCAGAGCATTGCAGAATGTTGAGCACATGCTGGCAATCAACGGCTCTCTAGATGTGAAGTGCAACTACAGCGACTTCAGGCCGAGAGTCAAGGTTATTATAGGAGCGCGATACTCTGAAGTGTCCATCTCCGTGGCCAGGCTGCTGAATGTGTACATGGTCCCTCTAGTAAGTCACAAATGGTTTCTGATCAACTCATACCTTTTACTGGAGAGTAAATTCATGGCCTAATTTGAGATCATTCATCCATTTATCATCAGAGACTGTCCTAGTATTTCTGTGATTCTTTATTTTACAGAAATTTTTAAAAATGAATCAGTATATACACAAGCGTTACAAGTACTGGGGAAAAAATAGTGGCCCTGCATCCTGTAGATATTTTGCTACTTACATTTGTTTCCATCTGTCTCCTATCTGCTCATTATAAGCACAGCCTGCAGTTAGCTGAATAGTCCATGATTTTTTGTTATATGACTGTTGGTTGCAGCTGATTCACTGATGGATTCTCTGTTACACGAGAAGCACATATTTTTTTGTGTTTTACAAAATTTGATTAGTATATTAGTATAAACAATAGTATTTCATGTAGAACAAAGTGATCTGAATGAAAATCACGATTTTAAGCTTAGCTTTTGATAATATTCCCAGTAAAACTGCACACCACATATGAACCCAAGCGCATTTCCTACAATTTTTTTGCTAATCCTATTGAGAATAAATGTCAAAATAAATTTATTCTGTTGCTGAAATTCAAAGCATAGGGTGCGGGGTGAACGTTAGTGGATTTTAGGGGACTTTTTGGTGCAATAACCTATGGTGAGAAAGTACTGTTCAAGTCTGTTTTTAAACAATGCTTGTGTTTTTAAGTTAAGTTGACTATTTTATGTATTTTAAATTCTTCTGTGATATTTTTTTGTCTTCACAGCTGAGCAGCTCATCATCTTCACCAGCCCTGAGTGATAAGCTGCGCTTCCCAGTTGTCATACGTACTGTTCCCAGTGATATACATCAGACTGAAGCTTTGGCCAAAATGATGGCTTACTATCAGTGGAACTGGGTCGGGGTTGTGTATGGGGATGACGACTATGGCAAAGCAGCTTTCCAGAGCTTTCTTGGGGATGCAGAGGCAAATGACGTTTGCGTGGCCTACCAGGAAGTGTTGCCTCATTATCTTGATCATTCCAACAGCGAGGAACGTATCAAGCAGGCCGTCCAGACTATCCGCTCTTCCAATGCCCAAATAGTGCTGCTAATTCTCAAATCAGAGCTTGTGAAGGTCCTCTTCAAGGAAATGATTAAGACCAATACATCTAGGGTTTGGATTTCCAGTGATGCCTGGTCCAGGAGCTCATCCATTGCCCAAATGGATGACATCAACAAGGTTGGGGACATCTTGGGCTTTACCTTTGTTTCCTCCAAGAGTGAATCGTTTGACAATTATCTCAAGAATCTTACAGTAACACCAGGGGGATACAACCACTTCATTGAAAAATACAAGAACTTGAGATTCAACTGTTCCTCAGAATGTTTCTCAAGCAATCCTCCATCCTACTGTACTGATATCCTGAGGTTTAAATCTCACAATGCATGTAACTTCAATGACCCCCAAGCGCAAAATGATGACTATCTTGTGAAGTCAACTGATACAAGCGAATCCTACCTGCACAGAGTGGCTGTGTGGGCTGTAGCAAATGCTCTCAGAAAGCTACTTAAGTGTAACGATTCCACATGCTCAGGGGAAATCAATTTTCCACCATGGAAGGTGAGATGGATTTTCATTTCCCATTCAAATTAATACGTGTAGCTTCCATATATTTTGAGAATTCTAATGTAATGTGTTTTCTTTTTTAATTGACATTGTCCCTTTCCTGTGCAGCTTCTCAGAGAACTGAAAAAAGTTCAGTTTGAGTTTAACAACCAAAAATTCTTCTTCGACGAACATGGCGATTTCGTCAATGGGTATGATCTGATAAGGTGGGAAAAAGATGGACGACGCAGAAGAATTCAGAAGATTGGGATATATCATATCCTTGATCGTAAAATAGAACTCGATGTTAAAGAAACCACCTGGCTTTTAACAGATAATACATCGGTAAGACAATGCTGTGCCCACACAAGATAATCCTTGCATCTTCAATAAAGTAAAAAGTCAGGTATTTATACACGTGGACAAAATTGTTGATACTCCCCGGTTAATGAAAGAAAAACCCACCAACGGTCACAGAAATAACTTGAATCTGACAAAAGTAATACTAAATAAAAATTCTTTGAAAATGAAACAATGAAAATCAGACACTGCTTTTGAACCGGTTTAACAGAATTATTTAAAAAAAAAAAAAAAAAAACTCATGAAACAGGCCTGGACAAAAATGATGGTACCCTTAACTAAATATTTTGTTGTACAACCTTTTGAGGCAATCACTGCAATCAAACAATTTCTGTAACTGTCAATGAGACTTGTGCACCTCTCAGCAGGTATTTTGGCCCACTCCTGATGAGCAGACTGCTCCAGTTGTCTCAGGTTTAAAGGGTGCCTTCAGACAGCATGTTTCAGCTCCTTCCACAGATGTTCAATAAGATTTAGATCAGGTCTCATAGAAGGCTGCTTCAGAATATACCAATGTTTTCCTCTTAGCCATTCTTGGGTGTTTTTAGCTGTGTGTTTTGGCTCATTATCCTGTTGCAAGACCCATGACCTGCGACCTTTCTGACACTGGGCACCACATTTCTCTCTAGAATACCTTGATACCTTGACAGTCTTGAGATTCCATTGTACCCTGTACAGATTCAAGACACCCCGCGCCAGATGCAGCAAAACAGCCCCAGAACATAACAGAGCCTCCTCCATGTTTCACAGTCGGGACAGTGTTCTTTTCTTGATATGCTTAATTTTTGTGTCTGTGAACATAGAGCTGATGTGCCTTGTCTAAAAGTTCCAGTTTTGTCTCGTCTGTCCATAGGACATTCTCCCAGAAGCTTTGTGGCTTGTCAGTTTGGCAAATTCTGGCTTTTTTTTTTATTGAATAGTTTTCAACAATGGTGTCCTCCTTGGTCGTCTCCCATGAAGTCCACTTTGGCTCAAACAACGACTGACGGTGCAATCTGACACTGATGTACCTTGACCTTGGAGTTCACCTTTGATGTCTTTAGTGGTTGTTCTGGGCTCTTTTGTTACCATTCGTATTATCCATCTCTTCCATTTGTCATCAGTTTTCCTCCTGCGACCACGTCCAGGGAGGTTGGCTACAGTCCCATGGATCTTAAATTTCTGAATAATATGTGCAACTGTAGTCACAGGACCATCAAGCTGCTTGGAGATGGTCTTATAGCCTTTACCCTTAACATGCTTGTCTATAATTTTCTTTCTAATCTCCTGAGACAACTCTGTCCTTGGCTTCCTCTGGTCCATGTTTAGTGTGGTACACACCATGTCACCAAACAGCACAGTGACTCATTATTATTTTCAGTCTTTTTTACGGGTACCATCATTTTTGTCCAGGCCTGTTTCATGAGTTCATTTTTTAAAATAATTCCATTGAACCACGGCTAAAAAGCAATGTCTGATTTTCATTGGTTAATTTTCATAGAATTTTTATTTACTATTATTTTTGTCAGATTCAAGCTATTTCTGTGACCGTTGGTGGGTTTTTCTTTCATTAACCGAGGGGTACCAACAATTTTGTCCACGTGTGTACCAAAGAAATTTAGGACCTAAGTATGTGCCTAAGTGAATGTAAATGTAGAGCCTAATGTACTTTGTGTCAAGCATACTGAACCTGTAATAAATCATGGGAACAACAATACTTATTTGTTGCAATGCTTTACCCAAGGTTTTGAGCTGGAGCTTTCGGATGCTAAGGACATTAGTGATATTTTACAGTGGTAGCTGTTTCAGTCTTCTATAAAGACCTAGTTTCGAAGAACAAGCAAAGACAAAACAAACTTTCGTAGCCAATCTCTCTGCAGACTGATCAGTTACAGGTTGCTCTTGCTTTTGCTCTCCTAGACCCCTCAGTCCAGATGCTCAAAGAGCTGCTCTCCTGGTTGGGTGAAGAAGATCTTGAACATGTCCTGCTGTTACAACTGCACTGAGTGCGTGGAGGGGACCTATTCAGATGACAAGGGTATGCCAAATTGACCGTCATATTTTAGATTCCATCGTAGCTTCAAAATGTATGCCATGAGATCTGTTTACAGAACACATTGAAGAGAGAGTTCAAATTAAATTTCATTCCTGTCTCTATAAATTGCATATTTGATTGACTGCTGTACACCTGAATAGGCCAGTTTAATCTCTTACTAAATATGTATACCTCAATTTCATGTAACAGATCTTCCTAACTGTAAGAGGTGTCCCAAAGGAACTTGGTCTCTAAAGGGTTGGACGAAATGCAAGCCAAGATCAGAGTTTTTCCTGCGCTGGAGTGACCCTCATCCGATCACCATTATAGCAGCCGCTGCCTTTGGCTTTTTGCTCTTAATGTTCACCTGCATTGTATTTTTGGTGTACAGAAATTCCCTACCGATGAAAAAAGCCGAAGTGAGATTGTCCTGTGTGATGAAGGCCGGTCTGGCTGTGAGCTTTGCAAGTGTGATATTATTTGTGGGTAAGCCAAACGTGCACCTCTGCCGTGCTCGCCAGGTCATGTACGCCATGGGTTTCACTCTGTGTGTGTCCTGCATCCTAGTTAAGGCTTATCGTACCTTCCTGGTCTTCCTGCCCTTTGGTCAGATCACAAACAGGCGACTACACAGACTTTACAAGCCACCTGTGATTGTTATTGTGTTGACTGCTCTCCAGGGAATCATCTGTCTTTTCTGGCTGATCTTTGATTCTCCTGATATTGATGACAAACCTCCATCTCCACAAAGCATGACTAAAATGATACAATGTTCAGAAGGAAAGACATACATAGGTTTTGGGATTATGCTGAGCTACATAGCTCTGCTAGCATTGGTTGGTTTCCTTTTGGCTTTCAAGGGCAGGAAGGTTCCCCAGGAATTCAGTGAAACAGGTTACATCATTTTTAGCATGCTGATGTACTTGTTTGTATGGGTGTGTTTCATCCCAGTCTACATTACCAGTACTGAAGAGAGCACTACTGTGCAGCCTTCAGCCATTCTAGTATCCAGCTACGGCGTCATTTTCTGTCATTTCTTACCCAAGTGCTACGAAGCACTTTGGGGGTCAAAGACTGATACACTGGAGAGTATCCTGAGGAGATGGCGAGTCATCTCCAGTCCAAGTCCAGAAACAGACAAAGATACCCCTACGATGAACACAGTCTCCGAAAACACCAGCAGGGTTTCAGTGTCTAGTAATTCAACTGTACTGAGGAGTTCAGAGACACTAAGTGTGATCAGCCCTACTGATTCAGAGATGGCCATAATTCCAATGTCCAAAGAAAAGATTCACCCCTATCCACTGTTTACTAATCATGTAACAAAACTGAGAAACAGACACAGAAGCCTCTCCTTGTAAAAATGGTTCCAAGGAAAATTACTTTATACATATGTATTTTCCTTTTCCAGGCCAAGATTTTGAGAGCTCGTTTGTTTAGGAAATCCATGTAAATATGTTTTCCACTGAAAAAATGTTGTATACTTCTACATGCAGAAGACTAAAGATGGCTAATTTGTATTGTTTGCAGCTAGCAAAACAAAATGTTTTTTTAAAATACCTGTTTGTGAATTGTTTCATATGTGCATCATTTTTTATTCATTATAACACAACGAAGGCAGTTGAAGAGGACAATAGGGTAACAACAAAGACTGTAGCTAAGCTTAGTCTGGTTTTCTTTGTGTAAAGGTAATGGGAAGTTGCACATGATGTGCATGATTTGTGACCCACTGAGAATAAAGTCACATTTTTGTTTGTGTATTTATTTTATTTTTGATATAAAATTAACTGTCTTTTATATATAATATTGTGTTGGCCTGTTTTAAATGGATCATTGTGAATAATGTTTGAGAATGTTTGAAACTCAAGTTTGGAAATTGGGCTATTCATCATTTTTCATAAAGTGACCGGTTTGACAAAAAATAAATATTTCTCTCTTATTGTTTCTTTTGGTACTTCTTGCTTCAATTACTCAGGCAATGAACACTATAATGTACTTACTTTCCAAATCAAACACTAATTCAATATAATTACATTTTTTATAGTGACAATTCAAAAATAAGTTACTTCACATAGCAAGGTTAATACCTTACAATATTATTAACGTTTCCCTTTAAGCAAGCACTTGGTGAGAGTGGAAAGAAAATCAACCTTTAAACAGGAAAAAATTCCCAGCACAACCTGGGTCAGGGAAGGCTCCCATCTGCCTGGACCAGCTAGGGTGAGTGATAGAGGAGAGAGTAAAGGACAGCATTCTCACAGTAAAAATAGTAATAAAAGGCTAGCTTGTATATCCAATCTATACTTATAGTAAAGATTGGATATACAGATAAAGACTTTCGAAAAGCCAATTAGCCTTTATGCCAGCAGCTACTTTGACTTGTTTTCGGAAAGTTAGGAAAATGCAGGTGCCACTTGTAATCCTAATCATGGTTTGGTTATTTTAAAGAGTCACAGAAAGTCATGACAGCAAACTTAAATTCTATGAGAACAGAGGCAGCTTAATGGAATTCATCCATCATTGAGTTTATTATTTACACTGTGTAGGGTACACTACCTATTTTGTTTCTGCAGTTCAGTCATTTATCTGTTTGTGTACCATTAAAGGTGCATACAAGCATACTTGTGTTTATTGTGACTATCAACGATCAAAACACGAGAATTCTCGTTGCAGAAGGAATGTGACCGATGAATGTAGGCGTACTGACCTACTTTCAACTTATTTGAAGTGGCCTAGTTTTTCAGATAAACAAACAATGAAAAACATCCATTGACTCCATCAATTAAAAATGAAAGCAGAGATTTGCCATGCTCAAGATCATGCTCAAGAATAGTATTGATGCAGGATTTTTAATTTTTTTTAGGTTTTCTCTTGGAATGATCTGAGGATTCACAATATGTACAAACAACAGGAAGCAGTTTGAGTAGTTTCAAACCAGAGCTGCTTTGGGTAGCTTTTAAAATGCAATCCTTGGTTGAGACATCAGTATTTTTAATACCTACAATTCTGCAACTCTACAATTTCATTTAGCAAACGCTTTTATCTAAAGCAGTGTACATCTGAGAGCAGATACAACACAAGCAAGGATCTAGTAAGGAGAAAACAATCTAGATAAGTGCCATAGAACAAATTCAAGTGTGATTGGGCCACGTTTGCCTAAATGATAGAAAACCCCACAGAGAAACCTCAGAGGAAGGTTTTGTGTTCTTAGATAAATATTTCTTTTCAGCATAGAATTCAGATAAATTGGGATCAGGGTATTATCAGGGGTGCTGAGTGAAAGTTGGCAGCTGAAAATACCTACACCACGTCACAGAAATGAAAGAGACTATCAGGGACACTGACGACAAAGTACAACCAGAAACTTGAATGATGTTAAAACCACTTGGGGATATCAGGAACCCCACAAAAAAGTTTCTTTTGTCTCATATTGTATTCTGAACATCCATCCATCCATCCATTATCTAGACACCACTTAATCCTCACTAGGGTCGTGGGGGGCTGGAGTCTGTCCCAGCTGACTCAGGGTGAAGGCAGGGGACACCCTGGACAGGTCACCAGTCTATTGCAGGGCTACACTTAGAGACAGACAACCAAGCACACTCACATTCACACGAACGGACAATTTAGAATCGCCAATTAACCTCAACATGTTTTTGGACCTTGTGGGAGGAAGCCAGAGAACCCGGAGAGAACCCACGCTACACGGAAAGAAGATGCAAACTCCACGCAGAAAGATCCCGCTGCCCCCACAGGCAACCTTCTTGCTGAGCGGCAACAGTGCTACCAACTGTGCCACCCTGCAGCCCGTATTCTGAACATAAATAAATAAAATAAAACTGACTCACTCACAGTTTTTTGCGGTCTAAATTAACCTAGGTGTCTGTACAATAACAGCTGTAGTTTCAGTAATTAATCGTTGCTCTAGATTAAAAATATATTTGTGCAGCTCTCTTTATTGATCTCTCCAAAGCACGTCATACTGCCAGTCATAAAAGCTAACTTAGCAACTGCAGTCTTTAGTGTTTGTATTCTTACAGTATGTTGACAGGAGAATCATTACTGAGGGTTTGAGAAAGCCTTCTATGGAATGGAATGCCACAAGGGTCTATTTTTGGTCCTCTGCTATTTACATAAATAACATTCTTATATTCCACGCCCATCCCTAGCCTAGGGTTTGGCTCATTTTCAATCTGGATTTATCTCCTTATGATTACCACTTAATAATAATAATAATAATAATAATACAGTTAATTTAGAGGCGCCTTTCTCAGCACTCAAGGACACCGTACATACATTACACAAATTGATTAAAAGAAACAACATATAAAAATCAGTAAAATCACTCAATTAAACAGACAGAACAAAAGGCTTCAGGTGGAGTAGGCAGTCCAAAACAGATGAGTTTTAAGTTGTGATTTGAATTGGGGGAGTGAATTGATGTTTCTGAATTGGGATGGTAATGAATTCCAGAGACGGGGAGCAGAGCGGCTATGTGCTCTGCTCCCCATGGTAGTGAGACGGGCGGAGGGGACGGACAGGTGTATGGAGGAGGATGACCTGAGGGAGTGGGAGGGAGTATGAACATGAAGGAGGTCAGACAGGTATGGGGAGGCAAGGTTGTGAATGGCCTTAAATGTTAACAGGAGGATTTTGAATTGGATGCAGAACTGAACTGGAAGCCAGTGGAGCTGGTAGAGGACAGGAGTGATGTGGTGGATCAAGGGGGTTCGGGTTATGATGCGGGCAGCTCAGCTAAATTCTGGACCAGTTGAAGTTTATGGAGGGATTTGTGAGGGAGACCAAAGAGGAGAGAATTACAATAATCCAGACGGGAAGTGACGAGACTATGGACGAGGATGGCAGCAGTGTGGGGATAAAGGGAGGGGCGGAGGCGATTGATGTTATGCAGGTGGAAGTAGGCAGACCTGGTAATGTTATTGATGTGGGATTGGAAGGATAATGTGCTGTCAAGGATGACACCCAGACTCTTCACCTGGGGGGAAGGTGAGACGGTGGAATTGTCAATTGTGAGAGAAAAGCTGTCGGTTTTGGATAAGATGGATTTGGTGCCAATGAAGATAACCTCAGTTTTGCTACTGTTTAATTTAAGGAAATTTAGGGTGAACCAGGTTTTTATTTTAGAGATGCAATCAGTGAGAGAGGTGGGCAGAAGAGTGGACGAGGGTTTAGTAGTGAGGTAGAGCTGGGTGTCATCACCGTAACAGTGGAAATGAATGTTACATTTACAGAAGATATTGCCATGGGGAAGAAGAGGAGTGGAGGAGGGCAGAAATGAGGGGGACCAGAGAGGGAAGATAGGCTTTGACAAATTGTGTGGGGAGGGGGTCCAGTTGACAAGTGGATGGCTTGGATTTTTGGATGAGTTTAGTGATTTCTGAGAGAATAGGGAGCTGGAAGGAGGATAATGAGTGTGTGGATGGGTGAAAGTCGAATGAATCGTGGGGGATTGATCCAAGGTGCTGGTGGATGTTTTTGAATTTTCAGTGAAAAAGAACATGATGGAGTTGCAGACAGAGGTTGTGTACAGGTGAGGAGGGAGATGTTGGGTGATGTTATTAAGTATGGAGAAGAGTGACTTGGAGTTTCCCTTACTAGCAGTGATTACAGTGGAGTAGTAGTGGGATTTGGTGCTGGCAATAGAGTCCTTGTAGTGTCGGACATGGTTATTGTACATTTCGTTGTGAATAGTGAGACCAGTTTTTCTGTGGAGTTGTTCAAGTTGTCAACCTTGGGCTTTCATGAGATAAAGCTCAGGGTTTCAAAGGCAGAAAAAAACAAGTAAATAAGCCATTTTCACCATTTTTTTTTTTTTTTTGATTATCCCACCATTTGATTTTACCAGAATCAATCTTTATACTCTATTATGTTGCCCCATGAAAATACTTAAGATTGTAGCTTGGCTGCAAATGATCATTCAAGATGTATATGCAATATTTGACTCAAAAATGTAAAAGCAAAAAGACAGATTAAGCATCCTGTATAGAATTAAAGGCTAGCAGTCTTTTCTTAACTGTCAAATTGTCATAAAGTCAACTTTAAGTCTACTACTGTGCATTACACTTATAAGACTGCATTAATTTTCTTACTGACATGTAGTAGAATCATCTATATATAAATCTCTACTGTTAAACTGTCAAACTATATTAAATGCACCTTTGAAATTGGATTAAGCAGAAACTATCCATTGCCCATGTTTTGTTTATTGCTCTTGGTGATTTAAAACTTTATTTTCTAATATATGATTGTTTTATGACTCTTCATTGGTTTTGTAAACTAATAGAATTTTTCCGCCTTATTTATTTGTTGTTGAGTTTTATTACACTGGTTGTGTGATTTTCTGATTATGAATGTCAACAAAACAGCATGACTGAATGAACTTTAATAACATAAATTTTATATATATAATAAAAAGATCATTGGATGTTTTAAGTAGAATATTCACACACAGCTGCTGCATACTACAGTAAACAGCTCCTGATACGTCTGACATGATCTCTGGTGGAGGTTCAGTTTCAGAGCTTCTGCAACTGCCTGAGAAAAAAAAAAGCTCAAATAGAAACAGCCGAGAATAGCGCAGCAGCAGCATATTCTGAGACTGTTACACAAGTGTCAGTCAGTCGGCACTGATCCACCTCACAGGTATTAAAGCGTCTTGACCAATCAGCACACAAACACACTTCCCATGCTCAGAGACCTCATCCACATTCACCCTAATACATTCAAAACACTTTTTTTTTCTGCTTTGGAACTTTCTCCTATTAAGCAGACATTTCCTAAAAACAGTGATGTGTGATTGTCATCTTCCACAGAAACTGGATACTTCCTTGTAACAATGATAAGAGTCCAACTTGCATTCAACTCTTTGTGATTACTCATTTTAATTGTCAACAGTCCAAAACACAATGCAGCTACAGTCACTG